TTCTTCACTTCCCCCAGCTTGAGAAATGCTGACCGTAATCTTCCTTTTTGGTTTTCTGATTCCAGATCTTTGCACATTTTGTTGACTTTATCTTCTTGAGCTGATCTTTGAAATTTTCTGTTCAGCTCTTGTACCACCGCATTTCTTCCATTTGCTTTAGCATCTCTACGCTGGAAAGCAAGTTTCATTGTCTCTTCTGACATCCATTTTGAACTTTTCCTTCTAGTTGTTATTATTATTTCTCTCCATAGTCTGGAGAAACTGTTCCTCAAAGCCCTTTCTTTGATTTCATGTCATGCCTGCCAAACAATATTCTAATTGCTAATTTCACTTCATATAATACAGTGATATGTACCAGAAAGTAAGTACTACAGGTATACAATACAAATACCCTGATATTTGGAAAAATAGTGCCTATTAGGAATGAATAAAGTAGCATTCCGATTGATTAGCCATCTATTTATTTATTCATTCAGCAACATTCTACTGAGCACCCAATGCATGCTAGGACTTAGATCAATCCTTGCAGATAAATCGAATCTTCCAAATTTCTACATAAGTGTTGGGGTGGAGAGATGTAGAAATTGTGATAATATGTTGTTAACAGCTGGTAGTCTGCAACTTCCTGATGGCAGCTAATATGGGGGTGCACATTGTTGTCATAGTTTGTTGTTCAGTGTCATGGAGTCAGCCTGAACCCATATTGACTGTGTATATGGTTTCCAAGGAGCTGTTAGTGAACTTGAACCTCCAACCTTCCAGTTCAAATTAGCCTTGCAATCCAGTGCTCATCCTACAGCACCACACCAGGACTTCTTGTTAGGTGTCCTGAAGTTAGTTTCAACTTCGGACTGATCCAAGCCATGGCATTTTCAATAGCCCCATATGCATTGAAAGTTGGACAATGAATAAGGAAGTTTGCAGAAGAATTGATGCATTTGAAATATTGTGTTAGAGAAGAATATTAAAAGTACCATGGACTGCCAGAAGAAAAAACAAATCTGTGTTGGAAAAAGTACAGCCAAAATGCTTCTGAGAAGCCAGCATGGTAAAACTTTCTCTCTTGTACTTTGGACATGTTATCAGGAGGGATCAGTCCCTGGAAGAAGGCATCCTGCTTGTTAAGTTGGAAGGTCAGCAAAAAAGAGGAAGAACCCCTAAGGAGATTGATTAACAGCTAGTTCTTATAAATAACTTTTATTTAATGTTGTTGTTGAGTGCCATTGAGTCAGTCCCGACCCATAGCGACCTTGTATGTGGTTTCCAAGGAGCAGCTGGTGAGCTTGAACTGCCAAACTTGCAGTTCAAATGGCTTTGCAGTCTGGCGCATTAACCCACAGCTCCACACCAGGACATAAATCCTTTAAAATGACAGTCCCTGGACAGTTTCAACGGAAGGACAATGTGCTCATCTGGGATTTACATGTCTCCTTAAGACCCTGACCCAGGCTAGATGCGTTTTCTAGCTTTAGGAACCTGGTTTAGGATTTCGTGATCATTTCCCACTCTTCTCTTCCCAGTGAGCTGACAATGTGAGGTTTTGTCTGTCATAGAGAAGGTGCCTAATTGTCAGACCACCCCACTGACATTCAGCTAGATCCTATCAGCAGCAGACAGTGTTTCGTGCCCAACAATGAGTCACTTCAATTTTGCCTGCATTATTGCTCCTGCCTCTATCTCCTTGCCTGGCCGAGGGCCTTGCTGCTCAGTGGGTCAGATAAAAGGCTTCAATATCCTGTTGTGTCCCTGCTCTCACAGATAAGAGCCTTTCCCTCAGTCAGCAGGAGGCAAATATCCCTGTTGTGTAATGAAAGAAATTTAAACAGATCAGCCCCATAGGAGGGAACTAATAAAATTCCTAGCAAACAAAGCTCCTCTTTAACCTTTTGTTTCCTTTTGTCAACAAACAGAACTTGCTTTAATTTCCGGGCTCTCTTTAAATATTATTTTTATTGAAGCATGGGAGGAAATGAGTGGATCGATGTGTGGAAAGTTAGCATAAGATACTCAAATGTCCCTCCAGTGCTGAGCTGGCCACTTGTCCTTGTTGCCTCCTCAGTGCTCATTACTAAAACTAGAAGAGAAGAATTGTGGAGTTGCTCAGGAGGGAAGATTTCGAGGTTTCCATCATAAAGCTGAGTCAGTCTGGTACCCTGATTTCTGCTCCAATTATAGATTCATCTCTGTGGCAGAATCTCTAACCCTTCAGGAGGATTCAAGCCCTGTTTATCAGTCAGATGACAGACAAGAGCATGTATTTTGAAAAATGTAAGAAATTACCCTTTATGACAGCTCAGAGATATGACAGCTCAGAGAAGATGAAATCTCTTATTTTCTCCTGAAGAACATGGCAGTTACTCCATTGATGGGTGAAGCTGGAGCAAGTTGCTTGTGACTGTCACCCAGGGAGTCTCTAACTGTTAGGAAAACAGTAAACTTTGATGTTATTTGTACAACTTCTTTAGAAAACAAAGATAAGTTTAATTAATTGGCAAAACTGTTAATGTATTAAGATGAAGCTGATAAACCAATCAACCAAATGAAAAATGGTGTTACCCCTGCTTACTCTAGACTGTCACCTTCCTGTTGTGCACAGGAAAATGGATGTCCCATGACTTCTGCTGTTTCATAAAGTTGAGGGAACCACAGGCATAAAGTGTTTTGTGTGGTTGTTCTAAAGTGAGTTCAAGTCAGTTCTGACTCATACCGACCATGTATAAGGTTTCCGAGGAACAACTGCTGGGTTTGAGCCGCTAACCTTGTCTAGTGCTTATGCTACAGTACCACACCAGAGCTCCATGTGGTTCTTGGTGGGTGACATTGAGTTGGTTCCAACTCACGGCAACCCTATGCACACGAGAACGAACGAAACACTGCCCAGTCCTGTCCCACTTTCACAAAACCTCACAGGACAAAGTAAATCTTAATTAAATATAGGACATAGGACTGAAGATTAGTATAATTTCTGAATATGGAAATTTGAATTAAAGTGCTGATTATCCCAAATATTTCAGTAATTTGAAATACAATAAACACAAATTTTATGTGACTTTAACCTGTACAAATATAAGTATGTGAGATAAAATGTTAATAAGATTTAACTTTGTAAGCAAAAGTAGGACTCTTATGTTTTGTTAACAACAGATAACTATAACCCCTGTACCTTTTGTCAGGGTGTGCCTTGTTATGAATGATTCAGTCTTCAAAATGCCTCCTTTGCATGGAATGTGATAACCCTACACCAAATAGAGATATAAACGCTTAACTATAGGAAACTTTAATATAAAGGCTTTAGAGATGATCTCGACCCAATCGCTCATTTATAAATTTCTACAGCATGTCTTCACCAAGGGCCCTCAGCTAGGGAGTGGAAAAACTAAGATCAAAATTGGTGTTTCTTGCTCTAAGCTCTATTTTGCAGAAAAAAATGAGGTTCTTCGTTTCACTCTTCCACAAACACTTTCTGAGCATGCCTGTGTCTTGAGGATTAGAGTCATCGTAGGTGAAGCCTATCTAGGTTTAGGATCCATGACCCTCACTCATCCCTGGCAAGTGAACTGGCTACCAGTCCTGTAAGATGCCATCTCTGCAGGGCACACTCCCCTGCCTCTCACAGCAAATTCTCTTCCTCCTCTTCTGGACAAACCAGGTGCCCTGTTTGTAGTTTTCTCCTGGTCACTTTCACATTGCCTTTAGATGAGCTGTTTTCCTATCAGATTTCACCATTGAACCACAAACTCCTAGAAGGCAATAAATATGTTTTAAACACATGTGTTTCCTGAGGCTACCACGGGGCTTTTAATAACCACAAATCATCTGTAACAACAACGTGTACACTTGAGGGTTTTCTCTGTCAGGTGTGGGGCTGAGACCCCTATTGCTGCTACTTCAAGTGTCCAAGAATTAGAAATTCCCACCCCAGTTCATGTGGAGTGGACAATTGAGCTGGGACTCAAAATGGAGATTCTGTGCCTGCAGAATTCTGCCTCTTTGGTGCTTCAACCCAGAATCAGATTTATATTTAGCTGTATGTTTCATGAGGAATGGTTTATTATTAACATTTTAAAAGGAAGAAAAGCCACTGAGAGAGGTCAAGTGACAACTCAAGTCTACAGTTTTTAGCAGTTTACAGATGGAAATACGGATCCCAATTGTCCTCGTGACCTAATTCCATGATTTCAATGACTTCACTTCACTTTCCTGCCTCCCTGGGGTCTCATGGTACGACCTCTAGGTTTTATTTTCATTTATTGTGTGTAAAGTCCTTGTTTCATAACTAAAATGTTTTCTTTTTGACTGTTGTTGTTCTTTCTCCCTGACAGTTTGCAGATTCATTTAACTTTAATCCCCACAAATGGCTTTTGGTGAATTTTGACTGCTCTGCCATGTGGTAAGTTTCCTCATTCATTAGATGTCAATTACCCTGTTCCCTTGCTCTTCTTTGGAGATTGCTTATTTGAAAGAAGTCTGCCTAGTGACCATGCTAAGAGCACATAGTCACTTAACTTACTACTTGTTTTTGTTTCTAAAACATAGATAGAATTCTTGCTAAATATTAGCCTGGTTGTAAACTGTTAGCTATAACATACTACTGCAACAAGTTGGCAGAAGAAAAAAAAATCAAATAGACAAAATCTATGATTTATCTAGTATTAACAGAAAACAAATACAAGGAAATTGCAGTACATGTTTCAGTTGCTTCAGTGTTTTCATTCCGAGAGTCTAACCAATCCAACATCTTAAAAGCATTTGGTCAAGGAAAAGAAACAAAAACAAAAACCTGTTTCCTAAGAGGAAATCTATAATCAATTTGGTTATATTTAGAACAAGAAAAAGAACTCAGAAATTAAAGTGCATGATATTACCTCATATGTTGTTATTGTTGTTGTTAAGTGCCTTCAAGTCAGTCTTGACTCATAGTTACCCTGTATGGAGTTTCCATGGAATGGCTGAAGGGCTTGAACCACTGACCTTGCAGTTCAAACCGACCTTGAAGTCCAGCACATTAACCTGCAGCACCACAAATGCCACCATCAAGTCAATCAGACTCAACAAATTGTATAGTGTTTCTGAGGCGTGGTTGCTGGGTTTGAACCGTCGACCTTGTGGTTAGCAGTCCAGTGCTTATTGTACAGCACCACACCAGAACTCTAGCTTCATACAGATGATGTTTAAGAAACAATGTTAATTGGAATCAGTGTGAAAGAACTAATTCATATTCTAAAATTTTTAAGGAAAAAATGGATTCATCAAATTTAGGACCAAAACTTTCATATTAACTTTGTACAAGCTTGTTAAATCTATAATAAAATGTGTGGTTTTTTTCCCACCTTGGAATGGTAAGAAAAAGCAGCTCTCACAAAATCTAATGAAAATCACTATTAACAGTTTACCAAATGATCGGCTAACCCTTTTGCTAATTTACTTAGAAGTAAACCACATTTTGAGTGCATGCCTTCAATTCAAATCAAATCATTTTTTGCTCGTATTTCTTTGCCCAAACTTTTGATTGTTGATTTTAACATCAATAAATATATGGGCACATCACACTTAATTTTATACTTGTTGTTAACTGTCATTGAGTCAACACAGACTCATGCGCTCCAGTGTGTAACAGGACGAGACAGTGCCTGGTCAGGCCCCATTCCACCATGGTAACATGCTGAACAATATTCTGTTCTGATAGTAGGGTTCTTGTTAGAAAAAGTTCAGAAACATAGCACCAAGTCTTTCTTCCTAATCTACTCTGGAATCTCCACTGAAACCAGTCCATCATGGTTAACCCTACTGGTATTTGAAATACTAGTGGCATAGCTTCCAGAATCACAGTAACATGCAA